CCCCCCCTCTCCCCACCCCTTATATCCTATTTACCATCCTTATCCCCCTAACCCCCCGTCCCCCAGGCACCTGGACACCCCCATTACCCCCTTAACCCCTCTTAACATCACTAACCCCCACTCACCCCTATTCAGCTGGACATTCACTTTAACATCTATGCCCATTTAACCCCACACGTTCTTTCAACCCCATTAATCAATTAACCCATACGTCTCTTTTAACCTCCAGTAACCCCTACGTCCCCCATTACCCCTTCACTCTTTAACCCCGTTCACCCAGTTAACCCCTTGACACATGGAGGCATATATTCTCTTTAACCCCTATTAACCCCCACACTCCCTCAACCCCACTAACACTTACACCCCTTTAACCCCAATAACCCCATATATTTCCTTATTACCTTAAACCCCGCTTAACCCCAAACCCCCCATTACCCCATTAACCTCCAACCGCCCTTTAACCTCATAAACCCCACATTCTCAACACCCTAAACCCCCCCCATAATCCCCAACGCCTCCATTAACATCCATAACCCCATTAACCCCCACTCACCTCATAACTCCCTTAATCCCCCATCAACCCTTCACGTCCCCTTAACCCCTATAATCCCCGCAGGCACTAGGGGGTTATAAAACTCTCCTTAACCTAAACCCCCTTAACCCCTAACGCCCCTTAACACCCTTAACCCCCAACACCCTCTTACCACTTTAACTCCCACTCCTCCATAACCCCCATTAACGCCCTTAACCCCCTCTCCCCGCAAGCACTTGGGGGTTAATAGTCTCCTTAACCTAAACCCCCTTAACCCATAACGCCCCCTTAACCCCCAACGTCCTTTTACCTCTTTAACTCCCACGTCCCCCATTAACCCTGTCTCTTATACACATCTAGATGTGTATAAGAGACAGTGGTAGACCTTGACGCCGCCTTCGACGTTTTCTATGCTGAAATAGCAAGGATCGGAACTCGGTTGTGGGAAAACCAAGATAACAAAAAACTGTTCGTGAACCGCCAAGAGTTCGACGCCATCATA